ACACTTTATGCTTCCATTGAAAAAAATCATATTATAGCAAAACATTATTACTATTATTCACATAAAAAAACATGACTATCTCTTATCCATATCTAATTACGATATAGAAAAAAAAGAAAGTTATAGTGCTTAGAAGGAGGCAATTCCGGGAAAAAAAACCTTAGGAATAAATTCGGAAAAATTGATTTCCGACCTAAAAAAAATTCGAACCAGTCTGGCCTTGTAGCTCAGCTGGTAGAAAAAAAATAGTAAAAATCCGAAGGTCGTGACTGGTTCGAATCCTAAAAAAATCGGAAATAATTTTTTCCGAATTTATTCCTAAGGGTCAAAAAAACGGAATTGCCTCCTTCTAAGCACTATAACTTTCTTTCAAAAAAAATCGTGTCTATCATAGTGCCATGCGATCCTCATATTCAAAAAAAATTGCTACTGGCTAATTGGAGCGCTTACATTTCAGGATACTCATAATATGCTCACATCTTGCCATTGGAAAGACGGTATAAAAAAAAACAAGTACCTAGAACTATGGATGTTATATTACTCAGCCAAAAAAACTAAAATAGATTCAGTATTTGGTTAAATTTGTTTGGAAAAAAAACGTAARCAGATGGTGTTTCCAGGTGTTCAGGAATTGAAAAAAAACTTCCTTRGCAGACGACGTATGAGACTTTATTTGCCTAAGCATGCAATACAGGGGAAAAAGGGAAAWGGTKTTGGGTGCTAAAAAAAATTCATGGCAGCATGGTTGCTGAATTGCGGAAGACTCAGCTGGACGCACTCTCAAGGCGAGCAAAAAATGTTTTAGAAAGTCAAACAGTTTACTTTGATTGATACGAAAGTTGCAATTTTGAAGTCAAAAAAATTCTTCACAGTCTTGGAACCGCAAAAAATCTGGAGCCTCCTTTAAATGAAATCCCTTCACATGGGTCAGTTCATCGTCTATAAAAAAATTGAAAAAATGAGTGTTTGATGCTTCCCCTGCATTACAAAAAAAAGCAACTATATTTTACAGTGAGAATTGAAAAGCCATGAAAAAAAAGAAATACTAAAGAAAAAAGAAATAACTAAGAAGGACAAAAAAAAAGACAATCTTTCGAYACATGACCATTGGTTGGCGAGAAAAAAATCTTTTCCCAAGAAAGAATTTCCCCTGATTTTGTGGCAGCAGATGTACAATTGAAATTGTATATATTTGYTGCCTGATCATAAAAAAATGAGTTGTTCCATATTTCAAGGTCTGCAATGCTCCCCAAAAAAACCATCGAAGAATCAAATCCATCATCTTTATGCTTCTGAAAAAAATAGATCGTTCCGCCTGCCTTAACCTTTTTGCCTTTCTAAAAAAATGTTTCTGACGATATCATGTCGCCATTTTTAAAAAGTCTTATTCGTCCTTGACCATTTGACCATGCAATGACAATGTTTTGAAAAAAAGCGTCCCTCTCAAAGGAAGATTGCAGAGATCTGAAAAAAAAAAATTGGCTTTTTGTTATGATGCTCAAATGCAAAGAGTGTAAAAAAACATAATAGCTTTTTTGAGAGCTTAGCTTCCCCAGTTGAAAAAAACAGCCTTGCACATAATTTTTAAAAGGACGAAATACAAAAAAAAAAAACGAGAATGGAATTTAAAAATAACCAAACTACCATTTGAAACGTTTGAAGTTCATGTCAAAATCCGTCATTAAAATTTTAAAAAAAAGATCAAATTCAGATAACTTCACTTAATATATACATTAAAAAAATAAACTTTTCAGAATTTGAGTTTGGAAAGCGTGGTCAAAAAAAAAATAAAGATGCTTTATATATTCAACCAAACCATCTGTAAAAAAACAGAAAGATGCTGATCACATATTATCTTTCGCACAGGAAACTAATTGTCTGTACGTTCTCTAGAAAGCAAATGCATTTCACAAAAAAAAYTWWT